TTAAAGATTTAAAATTTCACTTACATACATACTTACATACACAAAAATATGTATGAACTCTTGGTTGGAAGGACGGACGGACGGACCGATGGTTTCCGAGCCAATGGACTGGATTGGAAGATCTCAAAGTAATGGAGAAGGAGTGGGGGAGCTAAACACATATATTGGGGGTACCATAAAAAAGATAGACGGACACTTTCTGGACAGACAGACAGCCAAGAAAACAGATGGACAGACTTTGGGACGGACGGACCGACATACAAACATAAGACGCGTGTTCAGTAATTCAGGTAGCTGTTGTGCATTGCTTTAATACAACCGCAAGCAAGCGTGCCGTTTGATGCCTCTTTTTGTTGTTGTTGTTTTTGCTGCTGCTGGTTGCATTCACACAAAAGCAGAAGCATTTGCAGCTTGTGTTCAACGTGGTACAGCATCCTCATCATCATCAGAAGAACAGAAAGAACAACAACAACAACAGCAACAAATATGTTATGTTAAAGAACGTAAATTTTTCGTAGCTGGCAGTTAAGTGTTCAAGGCAACAACAACAACAATAACGATTTTTTACAAGAGAGGCATGCTCCATGTAAAAGGCAGCAAAGAGAAGAGGGAGAAAAGAAAAACTCAACGAAAACAACTTTAAATTTGAGGATAAAAATATCCATTCCGCAGCGAATAACAAAAAAATGTTCTTTCGTTTTTTTGTGAGTGTGTCTGTTTGATTTGTAGGCATTTTTCGTTTTTTTTCGTTTTTTTTTTTTTATTTTTTTTTATTTTTGTAATTTGAGTGTATGTGTTTGTGTATTTATGTTTCGGGTTTGTTAAACTTGCATACCAGTTGAGAGATGCAGCAACATTTTTCAGATTGAAGATGAAATTTTGCAATTGGCGGCAGTTCGGTTTTCCAGTTTTCTTTTGGCTTTGCAGAATTTTTAAGGGGTTCTTTTTGAATGTTATTTGGAGGATTTTATTTTAGGGGGAAATTATTGAAAAACAAATTTTGGAAATTTAGGATACCTAACTTGACTTAAGAGCTTTAACCGGTTCACAATTCACTTTCTGAGTCGATTTATGCATGTCAGTCCGTCTGTCCATGTATTTTTGCGATCGAACCCTATTGAAATTGGTGAGAATCGGTTCAAATTTAGATGTAGCTCCCATATATATCTTCCAACTATTTCGGGTTTAATTGAGCACCAAATGGCTTATATCAGTCAAATGAATTGAATTTTGGGCAATTCCGACTGAATTCATCCTAGAAACAAGTACTTCAAATTTGGTGAAAATCGGTTCAGATATAGCTATAGGTCCCATATATATGTTTCATACGATGTGGGGGTTCAAGTCTTTCACATGCGTAATATGCACTCCACAAGACTGATATTTGGTATCAGATAACTTATGGAGCTCAAAAATACATCTGTCAAATTTTATCGAGATCGGATCATATCCGATTTCAGGTTTTTTTTTGTGCACCAAACGCCTAATATCATCCCAAATGGACTGAACTTTGGCACTTCCGACAGAGTTCAGCCTAAAAGCAAGTGCTTCATATTTTGTTGAAAATCGGTACAGATATAGCTTGAAAATATCTGCCAAATGTTATCAAGATCGGTTCAGATTTTTATATACCTACATCTTCTTCTGATTTTGCGGTTATTGTTCACCATATATGTAATATCAGCTCGAACTGAATATATTTTTTCATATTGAACCGAATTTTACCATTTGCCGGTATATCTATTGCTCCAATATTTTTTAATATAATCCTTATCGAAATGATATTTGGTTCATAGTTGGTATGATCCACTTCACATAAATTCCCATTATAAACATTTTTGTTACGTGAGTTCTACTAAATACGCATAGTGGTCTAGGATATCATATAGCTGACCCCGCCCGGCTTTTGTCCTTTCCTTACTTTTTGTTTTTATGTGCCACCTGTCATGTAGGTAAAAGTCATTTTATGGGTCTTTTATGGACAAAAGATATATTAACGGAATGTCGAAAACCCTTCTAATGAAAGAGGACCTTCAAATCTTCTGCTTAGTCTTCAGCTAAAAGAACCTTTTCTTTTTCAAGGTTTGCAAAATAGTCCCCTTCGTAAAAATGTAGTTTCTCTTAAAAGTGAAATCACAAAAAATCTTTCATGAAGTCTGTGTCTTAAGTCTTTTGTTTTCAGATGGAAGACAATTTATTGGACAAGACATTTTACAGGAATTCTATGAAACTCAGCAAAAATTTTGTTTCTCTTGAAAAAGACATCACAAAAATCCCTTCTGAAGTTTGTGTCTGAAGTCTTTTGTTTTTCGATGAAGGAAAATATTTTTCTCTTCTATGGACAGAAGATTTTTTAAAGGAATTCTATGATAAGAAAATCTACTAGAGGACTTCTATTAACAGAATAGTCCCTAGTCTTCTATTGATTTTTGTACTCAAATTATCCATTCTTCTTCTTCATAAAATTAATATTAACCATCTCCATTGAAGATCTTCTGTGTATAGAAGACCTCCTGAACGCCTCCTGCCTATAAAAGGTCGTCTGAAAGTCTTCTGTCTTCTGTGTATAGAAGAATCCTTGAAAACCTTCTGTCCATAGAAGATCTCCTGAAGGTATTCCGTGTGTAGAAGGACACCTGTAGGTCTTCTGTGTACAGAAGACCTACTGAAGGTCTTCATAAAATTAATATCAACCATCTCCATTGAAGATTTGCAAAATATCCCCGCTCATATTAAAATCAGAGATTCCATCAAAACCAAAATCGCACTAAAATCCCTCACGAAGTTTGTGTTTTAGGTCTTTAATTTTAGATGGAAGGTAATTAATACTTTTTCCATGGACAGAATACCTTTCACAAGAGTTCTATGACATCCTAGCCTTCTATTGATTCTTTAACTAAAATAATTCGTTCTTCTTCAAAAAAAAATTAATATCAACTGTCTTCAATGCGTTGCAAAGCATTCCCCTCAGCAAAATCGCATTTTTTTTATCAAAATCGCACTAAAATCCCTCATGAAGTTTGTTTCTTAAGTCTTCTGTTTTCAGATGTAAGACAATTTATGCTTCTTCTATAGACAGCAGACCTTTACGAGAATTCTATGATAAGCAAGTCTTCAAAAAGACTTCTGTTGACAAAAGAGACTCTAGTCTTTCATTAACTCTTCTACTCGAATTAAGTAATTTGCTTCTTCATAAAATTGATATCTAGCGTCTTCATTGAGAAGATTTGCAAAATATTCCCGCTCAGCATAAAACCACAGATTCTATCAAAGCCAAAATCCCAAAAAAAAAACCTAATAAATTTTAGTTCTTAAGTCTTTTGTGTTTAGATGGAAGACAATTTATACTTCTATGGACAGAAGACCTTTTACAGAAGTTCTATGAAAAGAAAGTCTTTAGAAAAAGAACTTCTATTGACATTCTTCCATAGAGTCTTCTACATAAAGAATCCATTATTCTCCTTCATAAAATTAATATCAACCATCTTCATTGAAGTTCTGCAAAATATTCCCACTTCGGCATAAAATCACAGATTCCATCAAAACCAAAATCACACATAAATTCCTCATGAAGTTTGTGTATTAAGGCTTTTTTGGTATATGTTTTCTACATGTGAAATAGATTTTATGGGACTTCTATGAACCTAGAAGACTCTTTAAAAAACAAAACACTGAAGTGTTAAATTGACCTTAGACCAAAAAAAAAAATAATAATAATAATAATAATTATTAAGAATTAATATATAACAGGTCAACAATAAAAACAACAACAATCTTTTAAACACCTTCTGTAGACAGACCTGACTGTATTGAGTCCTCTACTAAAGGAACCAATTATTTTTCATTTAAATATTAATATTTTTCTCCTTCAATGAAAATTGGAACAACATTACCCTCGATAAAAATGTAGATTTTCTCAAAAAAAAAAAAAAACCGACATCACAAAAACCGACAAATGAAGTTTGAGTCTTAAATCGTTTTTTATTAATGTGGTGTATGTCTTCTGTATTTGGAAAGAATGAATTTATGGACCTTTTATAGACTAAATATGTTGTTCTATTAGAAGAAAAACTTCTAAAATACTAGTCGTTTGCTATGTCTTCCATTGTTGGAAGACCTTCTTCTTGATCATAAAATTAATGTCTTACTCCTGCAGATTTGTAAAATATTCCCTTTCAGCAAAAAACACATCAAAACAAAAATCCCTCAAGGAGTTTGTGTCTTAAGTCTTTTGTTTTTCGTTGGGGTTGTCTGTAATTCTATGCTCAAAAAACCGCACAAAAAACCAACACCAAACTATATGACATTTCAATTAAATATTCTTGTTGATATTGAAAATTGTTGATGAAAATTAACTATTTTTTTCATTATTTTTATTATTTGTGCAATTATAATTTTTATTGTTATTATTTTTATTTTTTATGATTACTATTATTATTCTATCATTTTTACTATTATAGTTATAATTTTATTTCATTATTATTAATTTTTAATTACATTATTTAAATTATATTGTTACATTTATTGTTACTATATTTAATTTTAATTATACAATTTAATTTTTTAATTATTCATTATATTTATTATGTAGATATATACTATTATTGTTATTAAAAATTACTAATTTTATAGTTGTTATTTATTACAATAAATATGATAATAATTATATTGATTATTAATTATCACTTAATTAACATAATAATTAACAACAATAACAATGATAATAAAATTAGTAATAATAAATAACAGTAGTAAAATCTACTAAATTAATAAAAATAATGAATATTATAATAAATTACTGTCTTTCTATAATTATTTTTTATTTTCCTATTTTTTATTTTTAATTATAATTATTATTTTTTTATTTATTTATTTATTATTATTATTAATATGAATATCATTATTACTATTGGTATTTTTATTACTGTTATTCTTTTTTAATTCCGATAGTAATCGAAATTCATAACTTTAAAAAATACATAATTTTTTTATAAACTCACCTATCAGCACCGCTAAACCGAACAGCTCGGTATCTAGCATGCCTTGTGTGGCAAAATGTAGACATGTCTGCGTGTACACTTCTCTGACTCGACTCTTGGCATCGACTAGGAAGTATAAGGTTTTGGGTTGTTGATTGCCTAGAAGCCTGAAAGAAAAAAAAAAAAAAAAAAAACGAAAGAAATGGAAATTATTAAAATTGCCACGAAAAAAAATTAAAATAACAACAAAAAAATAATAATCGTTACAATAATACAATTCAATAATTCTGGATTTCTAAATAAAAAAAATTGCCATTAAAGAAATCGGAATTGTCGAAGGATTCCATTTGTATTTGACAGATTCGAGTTTAACTATATCCATTCACTAAATACAACTTTATTACATTATTGGACTTTTTGTCCCCTTAAAAATTCGAATTATAAAAATACAACCGTATCCCATTCTTACAAACAACCACGGCAAACACATTCCGCATCTCAGTATTATTCTTGACTATACACTCTATCGTTATACTCACTTTTGCTATCCACTAGAGTAAAGACACGAACATTCCTTTTTTTTTTGATTTTTTTCAAATTAATATTTTTAATTTTTCATAATTTCCCAAAAATGTCATCTTCACATTTTGTACCTTTTATGAGCAAGTAAAGTAAAAGCAGCTAAGTTCGGCCGGACCGAACTTTTTTTATCCTCCATCATTGGGAAAGAACTTGAAATTTTTCAAAAAAAAAAAAAAAAAAAAAAGAAAAAAATCCGAAAACTACCACTTATGCGAAAACTGTAATATAGACGTGAACCTGGTTACGAATTTTTTTCATATGCTGTAGTACCCATTGCGAACTTTTAATATGAAATTTGTTACAATTCCGGTGAATAATGTCGCAAAAATCATGAAAATACCGAGTATCGGGAGGTACCGTCATATGGGGCCTAAACGAAGACGTGGATCTGCATAAGAATTTTTTGCCATAGGTTGAAGTACCCATTAAGATCATCCAAGACGAAATTTGAAACAATTCCGATGAATAACGTTGCTGAAATCATCAAAATACCGAATATCGGGAGGCACCGTTATATGGGGCCTATACGAAGACGTGGGCTTGCATACGAAATTGTTTGCCATAGTTTGTAGTACCCATTCCAATACGAAATTTGAAACGATTCCGATGTATTATGTTGCTGAAATCATCAAAATACCGACTATCGGTAAGTACTGTTATATGGGGGCTATACGAAGGTGTGGACCGGCATACAAAAATTGTTGTCATATGCTGTAGTACACATTACGAACTTCAAATATGAAATTTAAAAAAAGTTTTGTAAATAATGTCGCTAAAATCATGAAAATGCCGAATATCGGGAGGTACCGTTATATGGGGGCTATACGAAGACGTGGACCTGCATAAGATTTTTTTGCCATAGGTTGTGGTACCCATTAAAATCTTCCAATACGAAATTTGAAACGATACCGGTAAAGAATGTTGCTGAAATCATTAAAATACCGACTATCGGGAGGTACCGGGACATTGCTAGATCGTCTTAGAATTTTACGCGTATCGAAAATATGTATACTTTGTAGGTTCTATTATGAATATTTCGAGGAGTTACAGACGGAATGACAAAGCTAATATACCCTCCATAGAATGGTGGAGGATATAAAAATACTCTACTAACATTATTTCTGGACCATAGGACCTTATCTTAAACCCCTAAATTTTGCAATCCATTAGAGTTAAATTTTCGCATTAAGAAAACAATATAATTAAGTCACGAATGTTATGTTTTTTCATGATTTTTTAATGCCAATTTTTTTTAATTTGTTAATAATTTTTCAAAAAAGGCATCTATAAAAATCCTCTAAGAACAACATTTCATAGATCCAAATTTTTAAATTCTCTAAGAGCAATATATCTGAACCATATTACCTTATCTGTATACCCTAACTTTTTCAATCAATTGGAGTTCAATTTTCCCATGAAGAAAACAAAAAACTTCAGACAAGAACGTTTTTTTTTCTATTTTTTTAATTTTATTTTTTTTTTACTTAAAGTTTATTTTTTAATTTTTAATAATTTTTCAAAAATGTATTTTCTTCCCTAGTACTCTTTTGTTAAAATTTAACACGCCATGCATTATGAAAATGATCTTAGAGTATCAATTTTCTCAGTAAAAAAAACAAAAGACTTAAGACACGAACGTTTTTTTTTTTCTATTTTTTTAGTTTTATTTTTTTACTTAAAGTTTAATTTTTAATAATTTTATAAAAATGTATTCTCTACCCTAGTACTCTTTTGTTCAAATTTCACATGCCATGCAGTATGAAAATGATCTTAGAGTATTATTTCTTGACCATCCATTAGAGTTATATGTTCTCATTAAGAAAACAAAAGACTTAAGACACAAACGTTATTTTTTTATTTTTTCCATTTTTAGTTTTTTTTTTTTAATTTGTAATAATTTTCCAAAAATGCCATTAAATCGCTTACCTTAGTGCTAAAAATCTTGAGCCCGGTGATAGCTGTTCGGCCGAGGACGCGCATACTTCTAATGGCGCGCTGACAGTACAAAACGCTCGCATGCTGCATCGTTATTTGAATGCAACAAAATCGTTGGAAATATTTGTCTAAAAATGAAGAAAAGAGAAAGAAAAATTCGAAATAAGCAAATGAACCAAAGAAAAAGAAAATCCAAAAAAAAAAAAAAAAAAAAAAATAACAACATAATAAATACCACGAGACGCATAAAATTGATAAATAACAACACAATACAAATAGCAACAACAATAATATTACTAATAATAAAAGCATAAAACCTAATGACTACAACAACAGCTAATGAATTAATATATTTTTTTTTTTTTTTGATATTGAAAAGCAGGAATGTTGGAATGTTTTACAACTTCTCAGAAAAAAAACACATGTATGTGGTCGTAAAAAGAAAACCCCACAAATCAAAGAGATTTGAGTTTTTTATGATATTTTCAACAACAACAACGAACGATTTTTTCCCTTCTTTATGAGGGCCATAAATTAATTTTCACTTATCTTTATTTATTACACAGCTTTAAATTCCTCACAAAAACGAAAACTCCAAATTCTTTTTGAGATAAATTTGAATTTTTTTTGGTGGTGTATTTTTAATGGAAATGTATTAACTCCCTCCCCCTTTCTCTAGGAAAAATGCAAGATTAAAACATTTTTCGACGCTGTATAATATAATACTCCAGAGAAACATAAATATGTATATATGTCAATCACAGAAGAGAAAAATTAGTTCCACTACCCATGCCAGAAAAATATATTAGCCCTTCAAAATTTGAGAAAAATATTGTAAATTTGTAATCCATAAAAATATTCACAACCTCGCCCATTTTTAATAATATACCGGGTGATATGAAAAAACTGCAATCAACTTCAGACTGCCGGCATTTCTAAGCCACTCGTCCGACAGCTGTTAAAATTATTCCAGTGACAGCTCATTATGTTGTTTACAAGTGTACAAAAGCATTTTGGTGGGAATTTTCCAGAAAAAAAGTTATTCGTGATGGAATTCAAGCGTGATAGTGTGATTTCTTTATATTTGGCGGGAAAACCACAAGTGGCTATCATTAGAGCACTCCAGCATTTAAATGTGAATAAATCTTTTGTGTCTCGTTCCATCGCACGTTACCGTGATACTGGTAGCGTAGCCCGACGTCAAGGAAGTGGACGAAAGAAAACAGCAACATCAGCAGAAATGGTTCGAAAAGTAAAGAAGCGACTTGATCGAAACCCGCGTCGCAGTGGCCGAAAAATGTTTTATGAATTGAACATATCGCAATATTCCATTCGACAAATATTGAAAAATGAGCTCAGGGTGTAAAGCCATTGCAATTCCAAAAAGTACAAGAACCTACACCGACCGCAACAGAAAGAAAATAGACTCAAAAGAGCTAAAGAGTTGCTTCGCTTGGACGAAGAAAGTGGTGAACTGCTGAATTTGAAACCCGCGTAGCTGTGGCCGCAAAAGGGCTCGTGAGTTGAATATATCGCAATATTCCATTCGGCAAGTATTGAAAAATGACCTCGGGGTAATGCCATTGCAATTCCAAAAATTGCAAGAACCTACACCGCAACAGAAAGAAAATAGACTCAAAAGAGCTAAAGAGTTGCTTCGCTTGGCCGAAAGTGGTGAACTGCCGAATTTGGTTTTCTCCGATGAGAAAACATTCGTTATCCAGGAGTTTGTAAACAAACAAAATGATCGTGTTTTCTTACCAAAGAGGTTAGCTGAAAATGTGCACTTTCGGTTGGCCACCAGAACTCAAGCGCCGGCCATTGTGATGGTGTGGGCCACTATAACAGCTGATGGTCGCTCTCTGCTCGTATTAATCGACCGTGGCATCAAAATAAATGCCGAATATTATCGCGAAAATATTCTGGAGGGTGTATTAAAGCCTTGGGTACACAAACATTTTGGCCGCAGACCTTACACTATATTATAGCGAAAATATTCTGGAGGGTGTGTTAAAGCCTTGGGTATGCAAAAATATTGGCCGCAGACCTTAGACTATATTATCGCGAAAATATTTTGGAGGGTGTATTAGAGCCTTGGGCACGCGTGTGACGGTTTCATTGGCCGTTTGAAGGCCATAATTCGTGCCGGAGGTGACCAATTCGAACTAAGCTAAACTTATTCTAAAATTTGATGATTTTTCCGACATTTTTTGATTTCATCAAAAAATTTTTAAAAAAATGTAAAAATTATGGTGTTTGACTTTGTTGTAGTTTTTTACATCCCCTCCTCTCTCCTTGCTCCAGAAAAAAATGCAAGATTTAAACATTTTGGGAGGCTTAAAAATCCGTATAATATATTACTCCAGAGAAACATAAATATGTATGTCAATCGTGGAAAAGAAAAATTAGTTCTACTGCCCATGCCCGAAAATTGACAGAAAAAATATATCAGACCTTCAAAATTTGAGAAATTTTTTGTAAATTTGAAATCCATAAAAATATTCATCCCCCTTCCATAATTTTTATTAATATAGACCACTTTTCCACAGCCTGAAACGAAATTACACAAATTCCAATCCAAATAATTTGTGAAAGCATAAATGGCCTGTCTTCCCCTATCAGCAGCAGCATATTATTAATAAGCTAGCTTAGCCTCAAAAAATAATTTGCCGGCACCTTTTCGAAATTGAAAAAAATCACAAATTAACATAAATATTTAAGAAATGTAAGAATGAGTGATTGAAATTTAATCTAAACCTATAATTTTCTATCCACGGTGATGACCCCCTTCACCAGCCCTTTCCTTCAGCCGTTCTTCAAATGTCATGAAGTCTGAATAAAATTTAATTTATGTCATAGCAATATTGATTGATTATAGATGATGGGGAAAAAGTGGACACAAAGGCAGCTATAAGGCAAAAAGTGACAAACAGACAGTCGAACCGATAAATAGCTAAACTTGTGTACAACGAACTATAGTTCTCTTTTCGTTTTGTTATCTATCTCCCAACCACTCACACATCCAGTGGACTAGGCATGAATATTAATGAGCCAAAAGCTGTCTGCTGTCGTGGCTCATCAGACATGTCTGAAGACGACAGACAATCTTGGGAGCGGGGAGCTTTTTTACGAAGAAAATAAAAAAACACTCACGACAAAAATATGAAATTTTGAAAAAAAAATGTATTTTGAAATACTGGTGATTTACAGTTCAATCTGAATAAATGTAATATGAAAAAAGATCTATTGACCGCAATTGCATTTTGAGAGTCTTCTGTAAGTAGAAAACCTGTAGAAGGGGTTCTATTCATAGAAGCAATTTAGAACTATTTTTTACCCCAGCAGACCTTAAACAAGTCTTCCAGGAATGAAAGACCTCAAAAAAACTCTATAAAATTACAGAAGAACTTTGAAGGTCTTGTACGAGCATTGAAATTGTTTTTATGACTAGGAAAGCCTTTCGGAAGGTCTCCTAACAACATGATAATAAAAAGTCCTCTAGCCATGAAAGACCTTCACGATAAGCGTGTCGTTGTCATTAAAATCCCTAAAGAAAGTCTTTTATAGCCTCCAAAACCTTTTGGTCTTTATAGAACTTTGGAAAGTCAACAATGGCTTCGAAGTCTTGGATAGAGGTATGGGAGACATGCAATAGGGGTTCGAAGCTATTGTAGACCTTTAGAAGTTTCATAGAGACTAGAGAGCTTTAAAGGCTATCGAAGACATTGTCCTAGACCTTCAAAATAACCATTTCAAGTGTTCAACGTCATTTAAAGTTACATAGCTTCCAAATACCTTTGGTCTTTATGGAACTCTGGAAGGTCAACAATGGCTTCGATGTCTTGGATAGAAGCATGAGAGACCTACAATAGGACTACAAAACCATTGTAGACTTTCCATAAAGACAACTGAACTTGGGAGGCTTATAAAGACAACTGAACTTGGGAGGCTTAATGTGTTCTTTAAAGGTCTTCGATGTCTCGAAACCTTTAAAGTCGAGAAATTGTTAATGTTCTCTTTACCTGAAAGGAACCTTAACCACAAAATACTTTCAAAGACTGTTTAAAGATAACTGTTTTAGCTCCTCGAAGTCATTTAAAGTCATAAGAGAGGTCTTTCATAGCCTTCAAAACCCGTTGGTCTTTATGGAAATTCTACGGACCTCTGGAAGTTCTTCTTCGGTCATAAGATCTCTTGAAGGTCTTCTATCATCAAAAGACCAGCTGAAGACTTCTTGCAGTTTTTTAGTGGGCATTTTCGCCTGTTTTTCTTAGGGGGTTCTAACCAAAGAAGGCTTTAAAAAGTCTTCTAGCCAAGAACGAACTTTAAGGTAATTTTTGTTAATTCCTCAATGGCATAGAAAGTACTACAGTAGGTATTCGATGGTATTTGCAGACCTTTAACTTTAAAGAACTTCGAATGGACTAGAATGACCCATAAAGTCCTTTTACAGGAAGGTCTTCTGAAAATTAAAGATAATTTGAAAACCTCTATCATTAGAAGACTTTCGATTGGTCTTCTATGACAAAAAGATCTTTAGAATGACCCAAGGTCTAGAAGACCATTTTGAAGGCCATCTATAATAGAAACCCCTTTGGAGGCCTTCTTTATTTATTTTCTAGCTCTGAGATATCCTAAGTCCAGGAGGACCTTTAGTCATCTTCTAGAGCCGGAAGAACGATTTTAAGTCATCTGTAACTAAAGAAGATATTGTGAATGTACTCTGAAAGTTTCCTACGGCTAGAAGACCTTTTGAAAAATCGTCAATTGCTAGAAAACCTCTTCTACCACTAGAATACTTTGTAAGCCCATTCTGTGGGGAGAAGATCTCTCAAATGTCTTTTATGGTTAACATAACTTTTAAAGGTCTCCCCCAAGGTTGGACAATCTTTTAAGGACATCTATAATAGGAATAACTTTTGAAGGTCTCCTTTTTTATATCTAAGATATTTTAGGTCTAGAAGGCTCTTTAGAAGACTGCTTTACTTGTCTGTAGCTGAAGAAGATAGTCTGAGACCTTTGAAAAGTCTTGAATTGTTAGAAGACATTCTAACAGAATATGTCCCAAATATCTTTTATAGCTAGCAGAATTTTTTAAGGTCTCCTAAGGTTGGAAGATCTTTTTATG